CGTACCCGTCTTGCGGAGTGGGAAGTCGTCTTTGCCCTCATAGTTCCCCAGGAGAGGGGGCAGTTTATAGGAAGGAGGAGTCCCCGGTGTGTTGCTCTGCGGAGGCGAGCTCTGCTCCAGGGAGGTGTGCTGGGCTCCCCTGCAGACACAAACACCCAAACAGACGGCAGATTAGCTGCCTGGGAAAACCCTTTTATCTCTACCATGAGACCGAGCGCTGAATGTCATTTTCTGCCCAGGTTCTCGAGGGACGTGTACGTCATTTAGTCATTTCCTACACTTCCTAGAATGCTGCGTTATTTCCTTTGATTGTCAGTGTGGAAACATTCTCTCTGTGCTTCTTCCTTTAATTTCCTCCTGTGTTATAGCTGCTGCAGAACGGGTCTGAGTAAAAGCTTATGACACTCAAACCTGACCTTTTCTGTTGTTGTTGTAGATCAGTGAACATTGCCGGTTGCTTCTGGCCCTGCTGATTCTAACAGGACGTGGCATCGTGTTGTCTGCGGCCCTTTTCAGACTGGGAACTCATTACGTTCATGGGAAGTGACAGCTTTTTGTCATTCAGGCGTAGGTGTCTGGTATGTTAGCGTGTGTTATGGAGATGTGTCTGAGGTGTTGGAGCAATATTTTTTTAACATGATTCAGGTGATTATCCACACATCAGACTGAAAAAAACATACATCACAGAACGATGGGTTTGTGGCTGTTATTAATAGTAGAAAACGAAAAAGAGCTCAGCTCACTGAAAACACAACGCGAGCAGCTTTGGGATCGACGTTTTCTATAGGAGGATCAAAACTGGACAATCTTTGGTCCGTTCTGCTGTAGGAAAACTGAACATGTGATGCTTCTGTTAGAACAGGCCATAATGAAACTTTAATACAGGGGTCCCCAATCTCAGTCCACGAGGGCCGGTGTCCCTGCAGGTTTTAGCTCTCACCCTGGGTCAACACACCTGAATCACATGATTAGTTCATTACCAGGCCTCTGGAGAACCTCAAGACATGCTGAGAAGCTAATTTATCTATTTAAATCAGCTGTGATGGATCAAAGACACACCTAAAACCTACAGGGACACCGGCCCTCGTGGACTGGGATTGGGCCCACGCTTTAATAGCTGTCATAGACAAACTTTATTTTGAAGCACTCGAAACTGCTGTTGTTTTAATACAGGCGGGAACTTTTATTTAGATAAACAGCACTAAAACACTCGAGAGGCCAGTTCAACAAAGTGGGAAACATTTACTAAAATAAAAAGGGGGAAAGTACATGACTCACTTCCCACCCAAATTCAAAAATGCTCCTGCTAGTCTACATAAGAGTCCCGTCAACTAGGGCTGGGTTTAAAAATTGATTTTCCAGATTCAAATCGACTTTAGCTTCAATAAAATAAAGTAAATCCTGAAATATTTTTAAATAAAAATGCATTTTGCCAGAAATGCCAGAATCTCAGGTTGAAGCTCACAAAACTACTTCAACAACCGTTAAAACAGCTACAACAACAAATGAGAGCAGGTACACGGATTCCACACAAAGATGTAAACACAAAGTTCACCCGACGGCACGTACGCCGGGCCTGAGAGCCGACAGCTCACAGATTCTGATGCTGCAGGTTTTGTCGCTCTCCAACCAAAATTCACTGAACCAGCAGCAAAAGATCCAAATTTTGCTTCACGTTTGATAAACATCGTCATGGATTCCCTCTTACTTTTGCTGTTTTGCTTCCACCACGATAAAATCACACTTCCTCTCTCTCTCAGTGTACTTCAAGAACGATTTCCCATCTCAAATCTCTGTTTTCTGCATTATTAGCTTGCTTATTACCGTTTTGTACAGTGCTGTACACAAATGACCTCCGATAAGAAAGCCTGATTTCTGCTGTTCAATACCGAAGAAATGTCAATGTTTTAAAATGATGCCAAATTCCAAATTGCTTTGCTGTGTCTCTAATGAAACCTCTAACTTTGCTCTGCTTCACGTCAGCAGCATCAGATAATGCTCATATGTCGATTTATGGTTTTCTTCAGGTTTTGATCTAATGCAGAATATTTTTTAGGTCATCTGCTATAAAAAGCCAGGCCAGGAAAATCTGCTTCATGTTTTTTCTGTTTTATCCTCAGTTACTTTGACACAAAGGCATCTGCTGTGATGTTTACACCTCTGATGAAATCTCACAGGTGTCAGTACTGATAAATGATCAGAAATATAATACAGTGGAACCCCGACTTACGAATACCCCCTTTAACAAAAAATTCAAGTTACGGAGGGACTTAATGGCAATATTTCTGCCCGTGTTACGGCAAAATGCCCACGTAACGAAATCCGCTGGCTCTGATTGGCTGAGCCCAGAATGCCTACAATGCCTTCTGAATCATGTGACAGCCCCCTTGGCTTTGGTACTTGCACTTCGCTGTTCCACTTGAACAACGTATTGTTGTTGCAGTTAGCAATTAGCCTGTAGCCTATCGTTCACTGAAAAGGCGCGATGGGTGCTTCGACTTACAAAGACCCTCGGGAACGAATTCGTTTCGTCAGTCGGGGTTCCTCTGTATTTCTGACTGTCAGTCAAAATTGATTCAAATCAAATCGATTAGAAATGGAAATCGATGCCCAGCATGACCCTCAACGTCTCTCTGTTGCATTCAGGATCCAGTCTGAATGTTTCCTCCTCCAGAGCATCACACGCTCCCTTGCATGGTGTCCTAAATGCGTCATCTTCACCCTTGAGCTTGCTCACTCAGCTCTAACAGTGTTACATTATTGTTGGAACCATGAGTCCGGCCTGTGGACGGCTGCACCTGCACTGGTGAGCTCTGCTGTTAAAGTCAGCTGAAGACAGAGCAGTGTCCTCGGATGTTCGAGTAACGTGTTTCTTCTTTGCTGTGTACGTTGCGTCTTTGTAACTTCTCTTTAACTAATGTCCGCGTTCTTTAATTATCCGAGCAGTATTTTTGCATTCTCAAGTTTTTCCTCAGGTTTCTTTCTCACTGTTTGCATTATTCACAGCGTTTTCCATAAAACACTTGGTGACTCGTGTCTGGAAAAGTGCCACATAGATAAACATTGCTTACTATTGCTATTGCTGAGCCATAGCACAGAGGATTTGCATGTGCATCACTGCACCATGCACATGCCGCGGTGTCACAGTGATTATGTTGCTATCCAGTGACCTAAGACATGACTCTAGTACATTAACTGCATACTGTCAATTTAATGAGATAGAGCTGCTCACCAAATTGCATCATGTGCCCTCAAATACTACATATAACCATGGTAACGAGGTATAACTGTGTAAAACCAAAGCCATGTGTGTTTTAATGCTTATTTCTCTACATCAAGACAACGAAAACACAACTTCATGATATCGCGGGTAAAACAGCACCCTCACACTCTCCTCAGCTTGGAAAGTGAAGAGTGCTTCCTCGATATCTCTCAGGTCCGGCTTTGTTTTATTTCTGTTTTGTTTTCATAGCGAAGTGTGTTAAGTGCATGTTATATTAGTTCTGGTGCAGAAGATCAAACCATCAGTGGGAAACACTTTCCCATTTCTACACACACACACTCTGAAACAGTTTTGGTCCTCACCAGCACTTTGGGGAGAAGGAATGGTTTAGTCCGCCAGAACCAGGCTCCTTCTTACTGAGAAGGAACTCCTGCAGCTTCAGCTTCACCTCTGTGCTGGCAATGGCACCTTCCAAAACACACACACACAAACACACAAAGCAATCAGGCCACTTCCCTGTCTGTATGCAAACAGCCTGTGGTCTGCGAGTAGCATCAGGATGACCTACTCTCTTTGCCTTTCTCCTTGTTCCTCAGCAGCAGCAGTTGCTGCTCCAGCCGTTGTTTCTCCTGCTCTTCGTGTCTTTGCTGCTCCAGCTTCCTCTTCTGCTCCAGCTCCTGCTGTCGTTTGGCTGCCAGCAGCTCCTGTTGTTGCTACACACAAATACACACACAGGTTATTGAATGGTTCCTGGAATAAGGCAGCGGGAAAGAGAGCCGGTGCTTCAGCTCACCTTTAAGTGTTCCTGCAGCTGGACTTCGTGTTGTCTTGTTAGCACTTCGTGTTTTTTCTGAAATTCTGCAAACAGCAGCTGTTTCTGCAGCTCCTGCTGCTGCTTGAGGAGAATGAGTTCCTGCTGGAGCTGCTGCTCTCTCATGGCTGTGTCCACCACTGCCCCCCCGGACACAGACCCTACCCTGGGCTCAGTTCGCAGGTCCACCGGGCCTCCTCCTCCTCCCGGGCTTTCTCCTGGACTCCCACCTGGAAATGTCACAAACAACATGGCATCAACATTAGCCAAATGCACAGCTGAGCTTCTGATTCTGTATATCTGCAGTCTGATTTGAATTACTGCATTTTTTCCATTTCCTAATTATTAATTTTTTTATTTCCTTCTAGCAAAACTGTGTGAAGAACAGTACAGCAGCCATCACACTGGACACTATTTAAAAGCTAAAATCTAAACTGAGACCTTTTATTTATTTTATGAAAAATATTATATTCTGGCAGCAGCAACAAAAAAGAGAAACTAAAGGCTGCAAAGGTAAGTGTTGATAAAATGAGCTGGAACAACATTTTGCTTCTAATATTGGTTTATTGGCAACACGTCAGTAACAGGATTGGGTCTTTGGAAAAATTCCTCAATGTATAATTGTGATGACTTTGAATATCTTATCATCTAAAGCAGTAATATCAAAAGATTATGAAAATCTATGAAATCTCTGTGCAAAGAGGATAAGGCCAAAAACCAGTCTTGGACGACCCTGATCTTCAGGTTCTCAGCACACAGTGCACCGTCCCATCCACACACTTAGGTTAAAGCTCTTATGTGCAAAGAAGAAGAAGAAGCACTATGTGAACATGATCGCTAAACACCACCGTCTTCTCATTTAAAATGGACTGAGGCAAACCTTTCTGTCTTCAGATGATTAGAAATTAGAAATTCTTTTTGGCAAAAACAGAAGCTCAGTCCTCCAAACTAAAGATCATCAGTATCAGTGCTCACTTGGTATGAAGGTATGAAGCTTGCACATCTGTAAATCATCAGTGCTGAAAACTATACACAGGTTCAAGAGAAATGTGTGCTCCCGTCCAGTTGATGTTTTTTTAGGAAAAGCCTTACATATTTCAGCAAGGCAATGCTAAACTGTACCCTGCATCTATTACAGCAGCATGGGCGCATGGTGTTGCTTTATTAAACTGAAAACTATAAGAAAGTAGAACCAGGACTCATGAGCTGCTCAAATCTATCAGGCAGGAATGGCACAACATTTCTCCCTCTGAAGTCCAGGAACTGGTCTCACAGATGCTTACAACCTGCTAAAATAAGAAGGGATGCTTTGGAGAAGGTTTTATCCAATCAGGCCTGTGCTTGAAATGTAAAGGCTAAGCACAGTCCTGATTGGCTGCCTCATTCCTGCACACTTTTTGTGGTCCGTGTGAAAATGACCTCTGTAAACACTTTGAATATGAGTCTATGTTAAGCCCAGTTTTGGTTATTCTGATATTACTAAAGAAGGGTTTTACACTTTACACTGGCTCATGAATGGCACGTTGTAGTCAGACCCCTCGCTCATCACAGGGGTTTGTAAAAACCCACAAACACCAGCTCTGATTTGAAAGTTTCGTACCAGGAAAGAAACCGGTGGGTGACATCACGATAACTACATCATTCTTGCACACTGTCCATGATACATATGACATACATAGCCATTGTATATCATTCGCTGGGGTGAGGAACGTTAGGCACACTGTGAGCGTCAAATTTGAAGCATCAGACACTTCACTTCCCACATTCTGGTTATTTTTTAAAATTTGTACCACCACACACACACAGACACACACCTCCCACTTCAAGGACTCTTAGAGGACTCCCTACTCACCACCTTCTCCACCACTTCCTCCTCCTCTCTGCTCGCTTGCTGTTCCTACTGGGCTCTGCATGCCTGATGGGAGGCTGCTCTTCACCTCCACTACTGCAGGAAAGAGAGCGAGAGCGAGAATAGAGAAACGAGTGATTGATTAGTGTGGAAAATGTCAGGGACACAGCAGATTATTGCATCACTCATCGCATACACACCCACATAGAGACAGCTTCCATGTCATTCAGATGGGCTGTGATAGTGTTGTAAGAAAAGTGAGGGGGACAGTCCTGCTGCCTAAAAATATTCACAAGCAGCAGTGGGTAGCACTGAGCTCCAGCGCTGAAGTCAGCCTTTATTCAGCATGGCTACACTAAAGGACACTGCAGCAACATGCTAACATGTGCTTTACATACTAATAGTGACAGATTATTACAGTAGTACGAGTAGCAAGCAAAGAAAAAGGAACAAAGAAAAAGTGTCTTGTAACACTCGTTTCTGTAACACTTGTTCTTCATTGAAATGCCAGATTCATATTGATTTCCTGCTTCAGACAAAGCCTAGCTAAGCCCAGCAGCTGACTTTTTTTAAGTGTGTCAACAGGCTATGACCTCTGATTAATAATTACGAGCTGTGATACTGATTAATTGGTGAGCTTCCTTAATATAACCTACAAACAAAACCTGCGTTTGGACACTGGCTACTCTCTTAAAGGCTTTTTCACAATAACTTATAAGATCGGCTTCATTTTAACAGAAATGAAGCATCATTTGTGTACGTACAGAAATGCACTCAGTTTAAGCTGACTGTCGTCACTCGCTCGCTGCATTTGTTGCAATGTACTCTTCTTCTTTTTTTTCACAAGTACATTTAAGCTACAAGCCTCAGCAGCGCTTAGATCGGAAGGTTCCAATCAGCTTAGCAGCTCCAATCAGCTTATACTGATCACTTGTGTGTATAAGTGAATGTTAGTGAGAGAGAAAGAGGAAGAGGGGGGGAGAGTTTGTATGATCTCATTTGGACTGATTCTTTAGTTTTGGCCCTTGGAAGCGCAAAGAAGCAACAGGTTAACACTAGGGATGAGTATCGCAAAGGTCCTGCGTAGCTGTCCGGGACTTTGGGAGATCAGATGACGTTTTAACCATGTTGGACTCGATGCACGCACCCACAACAGTCTGTCTGCTAATATTTACTTCGATCATTAGCCCATGTTTATATTTTAGATAAGATAACCTGTAATTTAGATAATGATGTGCTCTCCAGGCTGCTGCTATAAGATACCTGGAGCAATGCTAGACGAACTATGAGCCAGGCAGTGGAAAACTCTCCTTTTCTCACTTTGAATGTTTAAACGTTCCCTAAATGTTTTCATAGACTGTTTGTGTTTTTCCCTTACAAGACAAAGAAGTGTTACATTTGCTCCAACAAGCACCGTCAGCATCAACACACAGTCTGTACGCTGGGACGGAGAAGCTGCAGATCCCGCACCTCAGAGGGTCTGAGCAAGACACAGAAAACCTTCTTCTTCTGTCTACGTTCTGTCTACATCAGTGAAGGGGGTGTCAGATAAAATGTGAAAGGTAACTTTAATAAACCAATAAAAATCTGTTTTCTTACTTTCTTCACTCCCAAAGGCTGCGATATAACGGAGACTCTGGTCATTTGTAATTTAGGGCTGGGAGTAAAAGATGAGAGCAATGAGAGAGAGGGGCAGAGAGGTCCTCGTATTCCTGCTCCATCAGCAGCCATCACTGTGTCTGGGAGAAGGGCTGTAACCGTGACCTGCCTTTGCTCTCCTGGTGACCCCTATGAGAGGATCAGGCTATTTCTTTGGAAACGCCACACACGGCAGCACGCTGTGACGTCAGGACATTTCCTGTCTGCAGACCAGGGAGGAAATTTAATTAGGTTTTACCTACTGTGAAGTCTGACCTTTGACCTTTCTGAGTTGGACCGATTGGTCTCTGATGTCTGACGCTTCCCATGTGGCTACTAAGCTAATCAAACAGGAACATCGGCAGTAGGGCCAAGTCTGTTAGATTGTGACGACTTTGGCTTCAGATCATAGCAGAGCTGAAGAGAAACATGAGGTGGATCTACGAGTGAACAAGTGCTTCATGACACAGGTATATGAAATCAGCAGAAGCTTTTCAGGCTGCTGGTTTGTGACCAAAAATGCCCAAAAAGTGGGAGCTCTGGATAAACAAGTGTGTCTGTGCATATGTGTGCAGCCGTTCACAAATTACCTAAACAAATATTCTGGAGTTTCACTGTGACGCACGTGTCTCCCCTTCCACTACAACACACACTCTGTCTGTATATGTGTGTGTACGTGAGAGACCGGTCTGTGAGTGTGGGTACAACAGTCCGTTTGGCAACAGAGCAGCATTCCACAGCAGCCAGCGTCTGACGTCAAACTGAAGACATTTATAGTCTGGTAAACACACACACTAACGTACAGTCTGACACAGAGGCAGGGCTCAGGCAACATTTTAGTCAATCATCCAGTATCGGCTTCTAACTGACTACTGCTCACTGCAGCACCACGCAGTCATTCATGCACCACGGCAGATGCAGTAAAAAAGAATGAAAGACAGACTGTGGGTCCACTTCGTCCAGTCAATGAATCTGGATGGAAACAAGACGGACTGGTCATTATACCCTGGCCCTAATAAGATACACAGGCACACTTTCTACACAGTGACTAGGTCAAGAAAATGAATGAACCTCGTAAAACCAGAGAGTTTATTATAAAGCAAGCTAAAAATGAAGGCGTGAAGAACTCCAGTTGAATAAATGTGTCATTCAATCAGGGCAAGCAAAGCCACCACTGCATGTTACTGGACAAACATGTTACTGCTTGTCCAGTAACATGTAAAAAATCAACATCAATATTTCCCCTTGCATCTCAAAGAGTGTTCTGTCCCATGAGCTTCTCTCATTGCATGTGTGCACCATCCTTTAAATTACTGTCATCATGCAGCCACAGTTAGCTGTTAACTCTGTAAGCAGGCTTAAGTATGCTTGCTTTCCTAGAATACATAGCACCGGTCGATTTGATGAGCATATGCATGTGCCATTAACACTGGCTTGAGCTGGGCAAGCTAGGAGGACTGTTAATTTGTGCATGCACATTGTGAACAAACTTCTGGTCTTTGAGGGTAGATTAATAGTGGATAGACAAACAGATAACCCGCTGCTGACTCTGATTTACCTGATCTGAGATCAGGTACTATCTGTGGGTTGATGGAAACAGAGCTAGCATTAGTAATTTAGCAAGCATTTTGTGATTTTCTATTACTAGCCATGTCCTCTTTATTCAAACAGCAAGTTGAAGTGGCTAATCAATGGACCACAAATTGCAGTTTAATTAATGGATAAGGACCAAGCAAACAAATGCAATGACTGTTAGCTTCCATCGCCCAACGCTACGTCCATAAAAGCAAGTCTGTACACTGTGTGCATCCATCCATCACACAAGGAAGCACTGAAATCACCAGCACAAGGAGATTCCATTTGGCCAAAGGTACTTCAGGAAAATTGTCAAACTACTGGATAAAAAGATTAATTAACAGAAAAGTAGAACAGTGTAAATGTGAGAGCAGTAACTATTGACTTCATTTTGTATTAAATATTGTTACTTTTAAAAAAAAATTGAATTTTACATTTTTCCATTTTCTTCTAAGAATTGGCATAATGAAAGTAAGATTCTTCAGTATTTACTATTGTTTTATTCATTTTTAACCTTAATTTATATTTTATTCCTTCTTAGTTAAATTTACCCTTTTTAATTTTTCATATTTATTTCCTATCTTATTCATAGCCTTTTCCTTTTTTGTTTTCTTTAGGTCACGAGCAGTTGTCCAAGCATTTCACTACATATCGTACTGTGTATGACTGTGTACGTGACAAATAAAATTTGAATTTGAATTTGTTTGTCAAATGGCTCATTTTAGATGTTGCAAAACCATATAAACATTCTCCATAATAATGAGCATGAAGGAAATAAAAATGATCTACAGCTGCTCAACTATAAATTCAGGATAAAAATCCCCAAGTACTTTATTTTGTTGTTGTTGTTGCTTGGACCGGTGAAATGAACCATTTCTGTCTTATTCAATTCAATTTAATTAATAAGGTGCCAAATCACAAAAACAGCTGCTTTATAATAGAACCTACAATAATACAGAGAAAAGTCAACAATCAAATGACCCCCTATTTGCAAGCACCTGGCAACAGTGGGAAGGAAAAACTCTCTTTTAACAGAAAGAAACCTCCAGTAGAAGGAGGCTCAGGGAGGGGCGGGGCCATCTGCAGTGACTGGTTAGGGGTGAGCGGAGGAAACGGGATAAAAGACACACTGTGGAAGAGAGCCAGAGATTAATAATAACTAGTTATTAAATGTAGAGGTGTAAAAAAACATGATGAGTGAAAAGAGGTGGCAAACGCTCAGTGCATTGGTGAAGCCAACTGCACCATAACTAAGGAAAGATTCAGGGTCACTTGATCTACCCCTAACTATAAGTTTTATGAAAAAGGATATTATTCTTAGAAGTAGCAATCAAATCTGGGATCTGGAAGCTGAAGGCTCTGTTTCCCATTCTACTTTTGAATATTGTAGGAACCACATATTACCAAATCACCCTAATATGAGGTCTTTAAGATAAGGTGGGGCCTGATTATTCAAGACCTTGTTCATCAGGAGAAAAAACTTAAATGTGATTCTGGATTTAACAGAGCCAATAAAGAGAGGCCAGTATTCGATAAATCTGCTCTGTCTTTCTAGTCCCTATCAGTACTCTCACTTCAGCATTTTGGACCAACTGAAGGCATTTCACAGAGTTTTTAAGACATTCTAATAATAATGAGTTACACTCGTCCAGCCTAGAAGTAATAAATGCATGAACTAATTTTCCAGCGTCAGTCTGAGACAGCATGGTTCTAATTTTAGAGATATTGTGCAAATGGAAGAAAGCGGTCCTACATATTTGTCTAATATGCGCATGTGCTGGTCAACAATGACTCTGACTGTTATTGGAGGACAAGGTAGTGCAGTCCAGAGTATCTGGTTAAACACCATGTTTCTAAGGTTTTTAGAGCCAAGTACAATACCCTGAGTTTAGAAGAAGAAAATTAGAGGTCACTCAGGTTTTCATGTCTTTAAGGTATTCTTACAGTTTAACTAATTGGTGTGGTCATCTGGCTTAGTAGACAGATAAAGCTGGGTATCGTCTATATAGCAATGAAAATGTATGTAAGAATGTATAATGTAAGCAGAGTCCTGCGGAACTAATTAACATTAGTGTGTTTATAAGACTTCCCCCATTTAAATGAGCAAACCAGAGTCTGTTAGATAGATATGATACAAACCACTGCAGCGCAGTACCTGTAATACCTACAGCATGTTCTAATCGCTCTAATAGGATATTCTGGTCGACAGTATCGAATGCTGCACTGAGGTCTAGCAGGACAAGCACAGAGATGAGTCCACTGTCAGAGGCCATAAGAAGATCATCTGTAACCTTCACTAAAGCTGTTTCTGTGCTGTGATGAGCTCTGAAACCTGACTGAAACTCTTCAAATAAACCTCTGCAGATGATCTGTTAGCTGTTTGACAACTACTCTTTCAAGGATTTTAGAGAGGAAAGGAAGGTTGGAGATTGGCCTATAATTTCTACGCAAGCTGGGTCAAGTGATGGCTTTTTAAGTAACAGTTTAATTACTGCCACCTTAAAGGTGTGTGGTACACAGGCCAGTAATAGAGATAGAGACTGATTATATTTAAAACTGAAGCATTAATTAATGGCAGGACTTCATTAAGCACTTTTGTAGGAATGGAATCTAACAGACACGTTGATGATTTGGAGGAAAACAATTACTGAAGTTAACTCAGAAAAATGAATCAGAGAGAAAGAGTCTAAATAAATATCCGTACTACTGAAAGTATCTGTAAATAATGATATGTCTGTGAGCTGGTTTTGAATATTTTTTGAATATTTAATATTTTATTTGTGAGGAAATTAATGAAGTCTACTAGTTCAGTTTAAAGGAATGCTTGGCTCAGCGGACCTCTGACTCTTTGTCAGCCTGGCTGCAGTCCTACAATCTACTAACTGGGAATTTCCCACTAATGCCTCTGACAGGAATACCTCATGTGGCTGCTTTAAAGCAACTGTGATCCGGTCAGTATCCAGACAGAGTCAAAGATGCTTTACTAAGTGTTGGCCAAGATTTGTCACTGCAAATATTTTGGAAATCGCATGATGTATCCCATCAGGGATGTGGAGTTTGAAGTCCAATTTGGATTACTTTACACTCTTTCTCTGGTTCTATCAGTCCTATTTCACACTGGTGCTGCTTCTGCTGGGAGGTATTTCTGCAAACCAATATTTTTCTCCTGCTTTCTTTCTCCCCGTCTTGTTCACTCTGCATTGCTAAAAGAAAATAGGCACTATGACGTCAGCCCTGCAAAACACTCTAAAAAAAGCCATGAGACAGAGAGACAGAGCAAGAGAAAGAAAAGGCAGAGGAAGAGGGAGAGTGAGGTAAAAATAGTATAATGGCTGTGTGTACTTTAGACAAATTAGAAGCTTAGAGAGAGGGAGAGGAGTCACATGTGTGGTGTTGCTATAGAGACTGATGGGTGGGTTAAGCATTATGGGATGGCAGACTGTAGGTCATCCACAGTGGATCTTGTCTGTTGTGTTACACTGGGCTGAAAGTACCTGAGAACATCTGGTACAATTAATTGTGCCACAGAATATACGTAGCTTTAAAGATGCACCAAGTTATGTTTTTATATTTCAACTTCAGTGGTCACGTACAATGTAAAGTGAACCAGTAACAGTAACGAAACCTCAAAGAATTATCACCCCATGAAGCAGGCCTCCTCAGCGTTTAACACTGTACATTTCGTCATTGTGTTTTTACACTCTATAGCTTCTGGTTGAGTCTCACGGTTGTGATCTTGCTTGGTCATTTCAGCATCCGACATCAGTTTAGAGTACAAAAAGCTCTCATTGAATGCTTACAGTTAAGCAGATGGAAAAGTTCAGAAAGTATCGGATGAACAAAGCAGAGCACATTTCCTACAACAGGCGGTGGAGACCAAAACAGACAGTGGTGGATTTAAACATGACTGAACAGATGCGTCCACACAGACTAGCACTGATTATAGTTGTGAACGTCAATGAATTTAAGCTACTTACAAAGCCAAAATAACCTTTACTGACACATAGTGGGCAAGGACTAATTTAAACTTTCAACTTTGAGACAAGGGATTGGATCAACTACCAATAGGAGAAAAGGATACGGCTGATGGGTGGTAAATACATTAAAGGGTTATCTATACAACAGGAGCCTGTAACGTCCACAGGAATAGCAATAGGTGACAGCTGCTGTTACTTACGGTAGAATATCATACAAAGTTCATTATTTTTCACAATCTCATTTATAAAGGTAAACTTTTACTTTGTGGTTACATAAAGTTCCAGCCTACTAGAGCAAGAGAACTGTCGTGCATCTCTTGCGAATACAAATAACCACAATCAAGGGAAAACTACCGACTTGACAGTTGTTCAGATTACAGTCACTGACGCCTGCAACAACGAGAGTAAGCCACATTAGGTCATTGCTGAAAAGGCTGGATACACAGGATTCACAGAGTGCCGTACCAAAGCATGGAAAGTTTAGTGGAAGGGAAAAGTGTGATAGGAAAAGATCCAAAAGGAGCCCGGGTGACTGACGTCTTGAGATGATGGTCAAGAAAAGTTGATTCTAAACTTAGGATGGACTGAGGCTGTTGCCAGTGCATCGAGAACCACCGTGCACAGACGTCTTCAGGAAAAGATGCTACATCTGTCACTTCCCTACGATTAACCCACTACTGAACCAAAGACTTGAGAAATGTCTTACCTGTTCATCAGTGGCCCAAAGTCTTTTCAGATGAAAGTAAATGTTGCATTGCATTTAGAAATCAAGGCTCAAGAACTTAAAGGAAGATATCCCAGTGTTTTAAGTGCAGTGTGAAGGATCCACAGTCTCCTCGAGATGTTGATATCTTTATCTAGGTATTAGCACTTGCCCACAGTGCAAAATGAAACTGGCCAACGAACTCACCTGACCTGAACCTTACAGAGAATCTCTGGAGTACTGTCTAGATGAAAATGACAAACTCCCAAAATCCAGAAAAGCCAAGGCCACTGTCAAAGAAACCTCAATAACAGCCTTGCAATGCCACAACTACGATGCACTGACGCAGTAATCCACAGTAAAGGAGTAACGGAGTAGAGTCATGGGTGTACAGACAAACATTTCTTTGAACATTTTGGCCATTTGTGTGTTGTAATTTATCAGGTACTATCAGGTTTATCAGGTATTTCAGGTACAAGTGAAAGTTCTTTTGTTAAGTTCTTTTTCGTGACATTCTCTTTTTTTGAGAAGCTTAAGATGTGCACATAGTTCACCGGTTATAATGATATAAACAAACAGGCGGTTATCAGGTGTGTTGATCCAGGAGTTGTTTTCATTTTGCAATCTAAGAAGAAATTCATTACTTCATTTAAAGGAATTTTGGGCCACTACACATGTAAATCTAACAAATCTTGAGCTACTTCATTAACAGCGTCTTCAATCTCTGCAAGTCTTTTATTCTGAACACACACACACACATGCACGGAGCCAACATGGTAACTGCAGCCAAAAGAAGATTAGAGTCAATATACATCCTCTTTGTTCCAGCCTGCTGTCATCAAGCTACATTTCAACACTGCTTTACCTCATTTTGGCACCATTGTTTGGCCAGTTCTACTCTACCTAAAGCTCAGAAAATCCATTTTATCACCCATGTTTCCTACTAGTGTACATTTGTGTTTGGCATTATAGGAGTAGCCAAAAATAAATAATTAAAACACTGTCAATTTCCTAAAGATGCCCAAAGGATTCCCAAAGCTAACTTAGTCTACAGAATGAGACGCAATGACAGAAAGTGTGTCCAGACTGAGACAGCTAAAAAGAAACCATCTTTTATGTAGATGGTTTATGTAGAAACCATCTACATAAACTACAAAAATACTCAGACCTTTTACAAGAGATCAAGAGATCAAGAGAGACTGGATCTCTTGTAATCTGGATCTCTTTCTGCCCTTCTTCTCTAAGAAATGTGAAGAAGAGCGAGAACTGCTTTTTTGCTTTAAGAGTGAAATATTCTTCTTACAAAGAAGACTGAATCTCATCTCTCTTTGACCTTCTGTCAGGCTCGTCAACTTGCACTTTATTTCTAAAAATCTGATTCATTTTTCTTTTTGTTTTAACATAAAATGTGGAGCTTTCTCTTTCAATGTCAAACGAGAGACTTTTACACATATTTCGATTTTTTTTTAAAGAGTTAAAAGTTCCAATTGTGAGAAAATGTCTGTTTAACTGTACTGCAGGGATAAACTATGGAACCAGGATATTTTCTGAGGTTGGGTATCTTTTGCGTTGTAACACTGACGCCTAGCACTGGAAACCTGCACACAGTTATTCTACTTAAATCTATGATTTCTAAACACATCCATCAATATTTATCCTCAATGTGTTTGCTGGAGAAGACGATACAGACAAGATGTGGGAAGTCACGTTGAATCTAAAAATACGTGTATGAGGTATCTGTGGAGTGCACAGTTTGACGCAAACTGTGGACACCGAGCACTTAGTGTACTCAGGTACCACCGTCTCCTCAGCGAGCTGCGAGTGCTGCTGCTCCAGCTGACAAACTTCAACACAAATACCACACAGGCGTTCCTTATGAGAGAAAACGTCAAATTATTCATCAGTTTTAATCAAACTCCAGCACACCGCAGCACCCCCACTCCCTCCCTCCCACCTTCCCTCTCCCCCCACCCCTACTTTCCCATAGATGACTCACCAGCAGTGGGCATGGCAGCGCTGGAGCCCCTGTTGCCGCTCAGGAGCTCCAGAGGCTGATGGTGGCTGTCTGTGCTGCTGGAGGAAAAACAGGACTCAGTCTCATAGATGGTCTGCAACATGGCGCACAATCCTGACACGGTGGGATGCAACAGCATGCCAAGGCGAGAGCCGGCGCTTTATTTTGTTAAACCAGTCACTTCTTCATCCGAGACGCAGGCATGCCGTAGACCCATACAGTTAAACTGAAAACTTCAAAACTAACTTCTGCAGGGAACGGCCGCAAATTACAAGAAAAGAAAATAATCGAACACCTCTGTGCTTTTCTTGTGTAATCCAGTCTCCATCGGACTCCTGGAGCTTCTGCCGTCTCTGACTGCTCAGCTCGAGTTGTGATGACGAGCGGGCGACACTTTGAGCAAACTCCTCCTTTCTAATATCGTCGTCTCGGCTGCAGCCCACAGAAAGCCTCCCCTCCGCTGGGCTTCGCAGATCAATCAAAATGTCAACAGCCAAAGGAGACCACCTGAAAAGTGTCTGTGTGGTCTTTTGGTTTATTTCTCTGTACCTACATCACCTGGAGTCCTGATCCATGCAGAAACACAGTGCTGGCTCCAGTGCTGTTGGGGTGTGTTGCAGATGGAAGGAACAGAAAGTTTGTTTCTTCCATTCAGCTGCGAGGGAAAATCCAGTCACCCACAGGCTGTGAGAGCGAGGAGCGACGACGAGAGGAGCTGCTGCAGCCTCGTCAACACAATAAAAATACAGACAGAGGAGCAGCCCAATTCCCCAGCTCTGTGTGCATCAAAGAATCCTCACGCTGTTCTCCTCCTGGCTGACGAGAGGGAGGAGGAAGAGAAGGAAGAGGAGGAGAGCAAGGAGGAGGTGGAGGAGGAGGAGAGGCGAGGACGTAAATAGCTTTGGGAGAGCGCTCCCCGAGGTTCCATGTTTCCAAAATTAGAACGAAGCACTGAGAGAATGACAGACAGAGAAGGAAATGGAAGAACGCTGGGACGGCGAGTTTGGAGTCCTCACTGAGAAACTGAGCAGCAGGAGAGGAGATGGCACGCTGTCCTCTTATCATAAGACAGAGGATAGTGGAGCTCCACACAGCGACCACAGACAGCTGCTGGTCAGACGGCTAATATTCACTGACTGAGAGTCACTGATGAGTGTGTGTGTGAGAGAGACGCTCACTGAGCTACTGAATGAACGTCGACAGAGAGACAGGAGACGGAGGGAGGAGGGTGACCGAGAGAGAGAGAGGCTGAAAGTAGATCACTGGGTAGAAAGGAAGTTAGACGGATACAGAGAAAAGTCAACAACAGCTCATTTTACTTCATAGAAAGGAGAGGGAGCAAGGACACGAGAAGAAGAGAAGAGAAGAGAAGAGAAGAGAAGAGAAGAGAAGAGAAGAGAAGAGAAGAGAAGAGAAGAGAAGAGAAGAGAAGCATTTACAAACACAGGCGATTGGGGTGGGGGAACAGTGCTGAAAATAGCCTGCTAGGGTAGAGGAGGAGCTAGAGATAAAAATAGACAGAGAGAGGGGAGAGAAGGAGAGAAGGAGAGAAGGAGGGAGCAGTAAGCCTGCAGCTCTGGGGTGGGGATGGGAGGGTGGCGCTGGGTGCTTTCATGTTTCTGTGCTGTGCTTGCCAAATACTGTATGTCAATCAAAGAGTGTGGGCGGGCACTGTGGACCTCTTCTTGCTCTGCTAGTTCCACGACCCCCCTTTTTTTTGGGTGCACAAATTGTGGCCGTGCAGGTGTTTATGTTAGCTAGCAGCGGGCACTGGGGGATGGCACAGTCAGTGTAAGATCGCAGTGTGATATCAGCTCCAAGCATCCACAGTGCCAAGAGGATAAAGCCTGCTCATCTGCTGAATGGTCATTTAGTGCCACCGGCTGGCCGATATGTCCACCTGACCAATAAAATATGTCAACATTCAGCCAAAGGATTGGCCAACATTCATGGCTCCCAGAGGAGGAATCCTGACAACTGTTCCATTTAGTACCACCATCAGGTTGGTGCTGCGAATGGTTCTGCAGCTTTAAGCTGCACTTGCTGTTAAATTGCATTAACAATATTGTTAATCATTGTTTTTGTGAGGCTTCATTCACTTAACCCTTAAACAGGTTTTTATTGAAAAGAAACGTTGAAGCCTTAAAGACACTTGTTTGGATTAGCTACAACTTCCACCATCAGGGGGCAGTGTTTTACTAGTTTAAGATGTTATTATTTGATGGCTGCTTAACTTTTTTTTATTCGCTACCACCATTTCTTTAAGAGCATCTGCCGCTTGCCAGGCTGCCAATATGTCTGTGGTCTTAAGGACTTGCTGGGTTAACCAAAGAGTACACCGCCTCACTTGCACCATCTTGTGGTTAAAAGCTGGTAGTTAAAGTACAGCCAGATCTAGTTAGGCTTTCGTTAAAATCTCTTAAACACAATACAAAGACGCTTTTGGACACAAACTCACAACAGTTTCTTCACATTTTGTTGAAAAATGTAATTTTCAAAAAGGAATTTAAATTAAGTATAACTACAAGACTGTGCATAAGTCTTAAGTCACCTCTGATTTCTTCCCATTTTGCTTCCAGTGAGCCAGACTTTTGTTTTCTTATATTCTGATCCTGAGGAGTCGTTCTCCGTGCTTCAAAAATTTTTTTCTATTCTTTCGGACATTTTACAGTCACCTCACTTCCAATAGAAAACTGTCACAGAGAATCCTGCAAAGGCTTCTTTGTAACCAGAAGCTACACGCCTCACTTTGCTGTCAGCGTGGATATTATTCATTGAAACTGCTCTTTATAGAATTTGTTTGTTCCATTCAGTATTCAGTCATAACAGAAGCTAGAGATTAAGAATAGGTTTGGGTCCTCATAACGAAATATAATGGGATGTCTCAGCTGCTGGCAAATGCAGAGTGCAAGGATTAGAAAAAGCAAAAGAGGAGAACAAACTGAGCTCTGTGTAATCAGTGATTTTACATTTAACAGACAAACAAATCCAGCAGACCAGCTCAGGACTCGTCTAATTCATGTATTTGTCTGCTTTTCATCTCTGCGTTGACCACTGTCGCTGCTGTTTCCTTTCCAGAAATGTTTCTTTGAATCATTTTATCATCACTTCTATCCCACCTCCTCCTCATCACCTTCATCTCCCTCATCATCCTCACCTCCTGTGTAAACAGCTCCCTGTGTCCTCCAGCAGATCTAAGGCTGCCTCGGTATGACTCACAAGTAAAGACTATATACACAGCAAAGGGAGAAAATGTAAATAGAGAAAGTTAACTTGAAGTGTCCTGTCTTGTTGAAACTGAATGGGCTGCTGTGTTGCTGCTGTGTTATCCAACACTATGATTATTTATTAACTTGTGCTGTTAGCTTAAAATCAGCCTTTCGTGTGTTTATAGTAGCAGATGAAACTGTCCAGGCAACATGTCTGACATCTCAGTGGTCTAACATACCAAACACATCTACTAAAGGTGAGTGTGCGTGTGTGTGTGTGTGTGTGTGTGTGTGTGTGTGTGTGTGTGTGTGTGTGTGTGTGTGTGTGTGTGTGTGTGTGTGTGTGTTTGTGTGTACTGCAGCAGCTTGGCGGATGACTCATCTCTGCGTTTCTATTTGAGGCGCATCAACCCCTGGAGTCACACTGCTGTCTGTGCGTGCTCGTGTGCGCGTGTATCTACTACATCTGTATCCATGACAACCAAATTACAGCCAGTCAGTCACCCCGTCACTCGTCCCAAGACAAAGCTGTCAAAAAAGCTGTGAGAAGGACGCACAGGTACCTACTACTCACACATATACAAACGATCCAGCACATGGAGCAAAGCAGGAGCTGCCGTTACATTCACCGTGAATGAAAAATGTCTCCCTCACCTGACTAACTCCATCAGTAGCAAATATCAAGCATTTTTTTTAAATCATGAGGACTGTCGGCAACTCGATTTAAAGACTCCAACCTGGTCCACTCAGATTTCTGACATAAGCCATGTGTCCCAACATTTAGTGCCCTTAAACATACACCTACCAGTGATGATGTAAAACAAAGATGACTCACAAGTGTTCAAAAACGTATTGCTTTCGTTAAAGCACACGTCTGCAACGACACCCAGAGACTTGTAATATATTAATATATGCTTTTCTTTCCCAGCATGCTAGCAGCTTGACATAGGAATAGCAATGATGCTCAGTTCTCCACGTGTGCCTTTAGTCCAAACAATCATAGTCTATGGTGCAGAGGATGAATTCTATCACGTGTGCTGATCCCCTCACCTTTCCTCTCGCACCACCATGACACTGGCATTTTTGTTGCCATTCAAATGATATGCATTAATAAATCCTTCTGCATGCTCTGGTGTCATTGTCAAGGCCGAATTTTCATTTTTGTTTATAGTTGAGATGAGCAATGAATGAAAAATGACATGAGTGTGTGTGAATAAAATAATCAATCAATAACTGTAAACTGTTCAGTTAATCAAGGTTTTGATTTGAGGCCTTACACTGAAGTTACACTCCACTAGCTAAGCAAATTAAACAAGCACATTTCAAGAAAACTACTTTTCATCCTTTCAAAGACCCCAAACCACTCTCACACGATTGCACATGCTCAATTTAGCATGTTTTGCCCAATGTAATGATTTAAATGCTGTGGTCGCCTTTAGATTTGCAGGTTGCTCCGGTGACCGTACCATCAGATCCTCATTCAGTTTTGATTTCTTTCATTTTCATCTATAATGTCCAGAACTAAGATGTAAAGAAATAAATATCAGCTCTGAGTTAACAAATAGCATCGTTAGCACAAAGCTATTACAATACAACTTATAATCATCTGTCCACGGATTAGTCCCATACTTTGCCCAGTATAACAGCTGCATCATAACTCAAACATAACTGTTTATATTATGCTAACATAGCTGTGTCGCTAGCGGTCACGTAGCACATCATTATATACCAGCTAGCCAAACTTCAGTAACCCTACAAACGTCACTGCTGTTTAGTTTTCTGTCTTCATTTATGTTGGAAGTGATAACAGAGCTGTACGTTTGAATTTGTTTCCAAAACCCCGCAGTCAGGACATGCTATATTGTATTTAGATAGAAGCTAGCAAGCTAACTTCCTGCTAACTTCTAGCGGAGACGGCGAGCAGTAGTGTATTTTGTGAGAAGCTTGGATAAATAATCTGGGGCTTGGCCATTTAGTGCTCTGTACGTTAAAACAATAATTTTAAAACGAATTCTAAAATCTATTGGGAGGCAATGTAAAGAACATAAAATAGGAGTGATGTGAGCTCGCTTGCTAGAGCGAGTGAGTAGTCTGGCTGCTGCGTTTTGTATAGCTTGGAGGCGAGAAAGAGATGATTTATCCAAGCTGGTAAACAGGGAATTACAATAATCTAAACGCGATGACACAAATGCATGGACAATTTTTTCCAGTTCAGCTAAGGAGACCATATGTCGCAATTTAGAAATATTCCTTAAATGAAAGAAATAGAACGAGACAGAGATTTTACGTGTGAGTCAAGGCCCAAAGAAGAGTCAAATATTACTCCAAGATTTCGAATATTTGGCTTAGCAGAAGAACAGAAAGGGGCAAGAACCTGACTGATTTTAGAATATAGATCAGGAGGAGCTATGATCATGGTCTCTGTCTTGTTCATGTTTAAAACAAGGTAATTGTTAGAAAGCGAGTCAGAAACCGGAGTTAAGCACTGGACTAGGGTGGACAGCCTATCCAGCTGATGAGGCTTAAAGGACATATACAGCTGAATGTTATCTGCATAGAAATGATAAGACAGGTCACTAAAAGACTGAATAATGCCAGCTAAAGGAAGCATATAAAAAGAAAATAATAATGGACCCAAAACTGAACCCTGTGGAACCCCGCAGGTTAGGGCAGCAGTGTTAGAGGAGAACCTATCAGTCCTAACAGAAAAAGTCCTGTCTGATAAGTAGGAAGAAAACCAGTCTAAGGCAGTGCCAGATACACCAGCCAGAACCTTCAGCCTGTTGAGTAAGATTTTGTGGTCGATGGTGTCAAAGGCTGCACTAAGATCAAGAAAAATGATCACGGAACAATTTCCTGCGTCAGATGCCATTAGTAGATCATTATAGACCCTTAAGAGAACGGACTCCGTAGAGTGCTGCTTTTGAAAGCCAGACTGAAAAGGGTCAAAAATCTGCAATCGGCATAGTAAGGACCTGAACTGATTTTCTACAATCTTTTCTAGTAATTTACTTATAAATGGCAATCTTGAAATAGGACGATAACTACTAGGGGAGGTAGGATCTAGATTCTGTTTTTTTAACAGAGGGGTTACCTCGGCATGTTTAAAATAGGACGGAACACAGCCTTGCCTCAGTGAATTGTTGATGATGGATAGTAATGTGGGACCAA